TGTTTTAGTGTTCTCACCATCTATTATCATTTAATTAAACACTTATCACATACATATTCTAAAAACTGTTATAATTCTTTATTGAGATTGTTCTACTTTGGGATGATAACCGTAATCATCGGCAGTGTAGGTAACCTTAACGTGTTTGCCATCCTTGCTGACGTATTCGTATTCACCCTTGACAATCCAAACTTTTTCACCCTCCAAATGACCTTCTTGGATGGCACGGATTTTGTTGGTCAATTCAAAGCCATATTTGAAGTCTTCCGTGTTAACTTCACTGAATTCTTTAATGACATCAGCTTCTTCGTTGGCGATGGCAACGGCAAAAAGGCAGGCAAGGACAACAATCTGCAAACAATTATTTTCGTATAAAAACGTTTTTTTTTATATATAAATTTTTTATTTCACTCAAATACTTACAGTGAATTTCATGTTGATGTTGATATAGATTTAATTCTGCTCTAAAAACTGAACTGATTTCTTAAATAGTGCAACTTGCATTTATATGGAGAAATTAGTAGTTCTAAAAAATAACTGGATTTATATGATAGTTTTAAAATTTAGTTCTGAATGTTGACGAATCCGGTTTATTAGTTTTATGTCACATTAACAGTAATATATCAAGAGACCTTATTTGTATTATGCAGGCAAACATAATTTATATTCATATATTCTCAATTTCACTGGTATATTATAATTGTGTATATTAATATTCTTTACGAATTCCAGTCATCCGAGGGGACAACACACGTTATAAAATCTGTATTTTAGGATGTGGGTGAGAGGACCATCACATAGCGTTATTTGACAATGTAGAGGAGGGATGGAAAAGAAAACGTGGTTTCACCAAAAAACAAAAAAAAACAAGTCAGCGTAAATGACGGTAAATCCATCGTGTGATATCCACCAAGATGACTCTTAATTGGAAAACATAAAGAAAATGTTTGTTCATAATTATAATTGAGTAGTTCAATTAAGAATATATGAATATTATTTATGTTTGCCTGCATAATGCTAATAAGATCTCTTAATATATTATCTTCAGTAATGTTGGCGGTTTATTTGGTATGCCATTTGTATTTTGTTTTTGCAAAATAGTTAGGCTGAATCCCAGTTTGTTGTTTTATAAAAAACAAATATTTATTAGTGGGGAATGTATGGCATCATTGCCGAGGGGTAAGACAGGGAAGGCTATAGTTTCGGATCACGCCACTGATACTCATCAGTTCCCTTAGTTTTTTGTTGGGATATTCTCCCCAGAAGCTATTGCTTCTATGCAAAAAAAAAACCTTTCATATCCAAATGTCTCTTGTAACAAAAAGAAGTATGGTATTGTTTGTAAATGTTTTGTTAACCTCGAAGTGAGGCACCAGCAGAATTCTCATGCAGTTTATGTCGTTGGTCAGCTAAGTACTCTCGCTTTGTTACAAGATTATTACGGTTATCATCCCAAAGCAGAACATTCTCAATAAATATATTAATTTATTTATTAGAATATAATAAATAAATTAATATAAAAATAGGAGATGCCGACAATTGGTAAATGGGCTGCTTTTATGAACTATCCAAATGATTTTATATTTTCTAAATCAAGTGTTCTAATTCTCCAAAAAGTTATCCTCTATCAATTTAATATTATTGAATACTATTTGTATATTTATTGCAATTTCAAATATAGTCGTGTACGCTTATAACGAATACCGATTATAACGAGCATTCTTTACAGCGAAGACATTTCCTGGTCAGAAAATTTTAGGATATATTTATCAAACAAATATTTACTTCTGTAGCAAACTACAAGTATACCGAACTTTTTTATAAGGAACTATTTATTCGGTCCGAATTTTTCATTCATTTTAATTCGTTCATAACGAACTTGCTACAGATATGCATAATACTTAACGTCAGTAGTGTTGCCGATTTATTTGGGATACCATTTGTATTTCGATATTGCAAAACCGTCAGGCTTAATCACAGTTTGTTTTTATTATACCTTACACAACTATGTTGTCACGGTATTATAGCTTTGTGTGGCCCTAAGAGTTCGTAACGCAGCAAAATATTGGTCCTAGGCCCACCTTTTAGTTTACTGATCGTCATGACACGTCCTTTCGTCTGTACAATTTGTAAACACGGCGCAGTTATGGACAAAACGGCATGAAATTTTGAATATAGGACAGGTTCGGGCCAAAGAAGATCGCTATTATTTATACCCTTCACCACACTCTGGTACAGGGTATTATGTCATTGTGAATATGATTGTGACAGGCAAAGGGAATCGAGATAGACCTATGATTCCTTTTGAAAATATGCATAGATACACTATGCATGTCCGTCTGTCTGCACCAAACTCCCAATATTGATCCGATTTTGCACAGAGTACTGAATTAGGTCTAGATTGATATATGCCAAGTATTGTTGAAATCTGTCCAAATTTAGATATAACTCCCATATATAGTTTCCTCCGATTTTATGTAAATGGTTTACCATACTGTCAATGTTTGTCCGATTGAAACAAAATGTTGCAAAGCGTATTGAAGTTACTACGAGTTGGCATCCGTACTGAAATTACTGCAGGTTGCCGTCCCTGAAATTTTGGATTGAAGACATTTCAGGTTAAGATATAGCTTCCATTTACATTTTCATCCGATTTCATCAAAATGATGTACCAACTAACTAAAGTTCGTCCGCTTAGGACGAATTTGTGCACAACGTACAAATTCAACCCAGAATAACTTGTATTGGTATGTGTATGGGTTGTTTTAATTTAGTTCAAATATCTATGTATGTACTTCAAGCAGTTAATTTTAATACAGTATTTGCAAAAATTTTTATTCAATTAACCGAGGAACCAATTATCCGAACCCGCTTAATTGAATAGCTTGTTCAATTACAGTAATCACGCATAATTGGAACTACTACAAATTACGCTTTCTCGCAGTTTTTCCTTAGCAATAAACATATATTTTGAATTAGTAGATATGCCACCTAGTATTTTAAAGAAATTATGTCAAATATGTATGTAAAAAATGCCAGATTATTATTTTGCAATTAACCGGGGAAAAACAAAAGGAAATTTATCTTTGATGACATGAATTTTGAACCAATTAAGCGGGAAAATCAATTAAAAGGGTTTAATTATCCGAGAAAATTTACATGTATTTTCCTATGAAATATTTTTTGCCCCATCATGTTGTTCAATTAAGCGTGGAAAACAATTAACCGCAGGGTCAATTAACCGAAAAATACTGTAATAGTTTTGGGTTAATTGATCTGTCGTTGCAAACTGTTCATGATATTGACCACCAAACTTTATCTACCTTTAAATGATGCTGACATTTTGAAGCTCGATTTTGATTGTTTTTTTTTAATTTTACTTCTAGCTTTAATACGCAAACAGGAATTTCTAAAAATCAATTATATAATTATTGTAGTCGCGAATCTACGTAATTTGATATGTATTTTGTGTACCGATGGTGAAAATTTTGTGCGATCAAATTTCTAAAAAACCTATTTTTCGGGCCAAATTTTTAGATCTGTCAAATGAATGATATGGGTACCCGCGATCAATAAAGTTTTTTACGTTTCGGATGATATAAAATCTTCTTCGTGAAAATCCATCTACTAGAACGGCGGGAACTGGCCTTCCAAAAACACGAAATTTGGCAAAAAAAAAAAAATGTTTTTGAAAATATCGCGGATTTATAAATGATAAATGACCTCATATGGATTTTGATCGAAAAAAACAACTTTAAAAACTTCAGCCGAAAGAGAGATGTACCCAATTTATCTCAAAACCAGTGAGCGGAGCAGTATAGTCGGACGGGGCCGACCATACGATACCCTACACAACTTCCATGAAAATCTAACTTTTTATGGTTCTATATTCTAAGATTGGGCAATATTTCGCGATCTTTGCACACCTTTGGCTGGCTAGAGGTTAGCAAATGTTATTAATAATCAGTACAGCCCCTCTAATTACTTGTCCAGATACCCTTCGCCGTGGGTTGTGTTGTGATGTTCGGCTTTCGACTCTAAAGTACAAATAAGTAAATTTTCGGTCCACTTCATCCGAAAAGTTTTTATCTGATCATCACCTAACATTTTAGACGTTGTCCTTGACCATAACTGGAACCTCATAGAACATTTCAAAGCGATCAGCTCTATATTTCCGCCCTCCAGTGTGGTAATAGGTTACTACATAATAAATACATACGTAAGCACCTGTAAATATTTAAGTGTAACTCCCGAATCCGAATATCTACGACAACATAATTGGTATCAATTTAAAGGTCAACTACTCCTATCGGATATACTATCAATTCTCGGGTCTATGTCCTTCAGTGATAAATATGTACGCTATAGAATACAAATTTTGTAATTTTCACACAAAAGTTTCGGACATAAGTAGCGTAATTGGTACATATTTGTATAAAATCGGACGAAACTATATTTGGGGACTAGATAGAAATACCTGTACATGCGACCTGTGATACATTATGTATTTTGAACCTTATGATTTCCTCGACATTCTACACGCACTTCCAAATTGAGTTTATAATTACATGTTATTTATGTATATAAATATAACCCTCATTTATAATTAGTTATGCGTTGCAATTCTTCGAGAACCACTTGCTTAGTAGAAATCGGCCAACCTACATGTGCGATTTTTCTGACACGAAATTAATGATTAAATTCGCTTAATTAGGTTTTGAAGAAATTGGCGTCATCTTCTACAAATATCCAATCAATTTATAATCCCACATAAATGAACATAAATGTTTGTTATTTGTTATAGAATTAGAGACAAACTAATTTTAATAGCCAATTTCAACTAACCCATTAACACAAAAAGTGAATACTAAATCAAAATTATTATAACCGCTCTAGTTCCAGTTTGTGCTGTATACAACTAGAACTAATAGATAATTTCTCCTTATAAATGCAATGTGCACTCTTTGCAAAATCAGTTCAGTCTCAGAAACATCACCAAGCCATAATCAAAATGAAATTCGCTGTGAGTATTCTGAACACAACAAAACCCTATACAATTTTTATAACTTTTTCTGTTTGGTTTGTAGATTGTTCTCCTTGCCTGCCTTTTGGCCGTTGCCTACGCCAACGAAGAAGCTGATGTTGTTAAGGAATTCAGCGAAGTCAACAAGGAAGACTTCAAATATGGCTATGAATTGACTAACAAAATCCGTGCTTTCCAAGAAGGTCATTTGGAAGGCGAAAAACTCTGGCTAGTCAAGGGTGAATATGAATTCGTCAGCAAGGAGGGCAAACACATCAAAGTCACCTATACCGCCGATGATTACGGTTATCAT